TAATGGTGGTTAGCAGTGGTGGTGGTAGGGCGATAGCGGTAATGGTGGTGGGCGACGACAGGTACTTCTGGGCAATAGTGTGATGAGTAGTGACGAATGATGGTGGTGGTAAGAGTGGTGGAGATGGATGACAGTGGATACTGATAATGGTGACTGATGACGGATGGTGGTGATAGATGTGATCGGAGTGGGTGACAGTGGTTTGCAGCAATGGTAGGCAATGATAGGTGGTGGTGGGCAACAATGATGGTGAGCTGGCAATGGTGATAGTGGTGGTGCAGTGGCGACGATGGGGGTGGTGATAATAAGGATGATGGTGGTGGGGTGACGATAATGATGGTGGTGGGGTGACGATAATGATGGTGGCGGGGCAGTGATGATGGTGGTGGTGGGATGGCGATAATGGTTGTAATAGTGGTGGTGGTGGTGGTGGTGGTGGTGGTGGTAAGGTGACAGCAACAGTGGTAAGGGTGATGGTGGTGGTGGTGGTGATGCGGTGGGTGTAGTGGCGGTGGTGGAGGGTGGCGATGGTGGTTATGGTGGTGGCGCAATGGGATTAGTGCTGATGGAGCGGTTTCAAAACACTAATTTTTTGTTCTAAAGTACTTATGTTCTAAAAACACTTATAAAAATTCTCCCCAAACACACTTTTAGGAACCTATTTTCTCTATTAAATTTGGAGTGTTAATATTAGTTGTCAGATTAACTTTAAAATAAAATTTAAAGAGATCTCAACCGTGAAAAGCAAAATTATTTTATTTATATTTTAAAATTTGGATTATATTGTATTTTATTATATAAACTAGTTATTTCTCATACCTGAAGGTATAGAGTAATAAAAAAATAGTTAATAATAAACATATTTGTATTCACTGCTAAAATTAAATTACAAAAATAGAGCAAAAATAAATGAATTTAAATATCGATTGTAATAGGGACGAGTGATGGTAGTGATGGTGGGCGATAGTGGTAATAGTCAGAGACGATGATGATTGTGATAGGTGACGACGATCAGTTATGATGCTGGCAAGTGTGGGTGTCAATGGTTATAGTAGTGGTGGAACGGTGGTAGGGGTAGGGGTGATGATGGGACAGTGGTAGTGGTGATGGTTAGGTGGTCGCAGCAGTGGCAATGATGGGGATAGTGGTAGTGGGGATGGTAGTGGTAGGGTAGTGGTGATAGGGTGGCGGTGGCAGCGGTAGTGATTGTTAGCAAAATAACTTCAACAGATTAGAAGATTTTGATCGATTATTGACTCTCCTTAAGAAAATTATACTCCCACTATATTGCTGCTAAGTTTATGACAAATTCTTCTAGGATTAACAAAGGCAAAACAAAATTTAGATAGTAGACTCTAAAATTCTCCCAATAACATAATAGAGAAATATTTTTTGTATATATCAGTATTGACGCATCCGTACAGGTATTTATAATACTTTAGAGATGTAAAAATGAGACACAACTCTTGAGCCAAAGAGATGTAAAGAGGAGACACAATTCTTGGGCCAAGAGATATTAATTAATACAAAAATAATTAATTATTTTATAGAGTGCCCATCTTTTGACTTTAAATATTATTTTATTTAAAGCTTAATCATGACCCTTTGATTTGAAATTTTTAGAGTTTTCCTTCAAATCTTCCCACCAGCCAAATTTAGAAAATTTGATGTATTTATCTTTTTAAACTCTTACACTCCCTTTCAACTTTTTCAATGTGGGATACCTTACATTACTAACTTTCTTACATTACTAACTATTTTTAAAAGTGATTGTTGTGGACGAGTTGATAGTGGGGGTGACGATAGCGGTGGTGATGATAATGAAGGGCGATGAATTTGGTAGTGGTGATAGTTGTTGTGGCAAAGGTGTTGGTGTGGTGGTGGCAGCTGTAATAGTGATGGTGGTAGTGGTGGGGTGTTGGTAGAGCAATTTCAAACCCTATGTTTTTTAAAGTATTGATGAGAAGTAATAAATCGTAGAAGAATTTTTAAAAAGTTATTTCAAACACACTCTTAGAGATATATTTTTCCTATTAAATTTGGTGTGTTATTATTAGTCGTCAAATTAACTGTAAAACAAAATTTAAAGTTAACTAAACCGCGAAAAACAAAAGTTATTTCGTTTATCTATTAACATTTGAATTGTATTATATTTTATTATATAGATATAGATTTATTAGTTTATTTTGAATTTTTTTTCCTCAACGTTAACTTATCATACTTTAAGATCATATAAACTAAAATTTTCCATCAAATTAATTTGTTAAAACTAGAAAAAAAAAAATTGGATGCAAATGTGATGTGAACCTAAAGAAATAGGGTTTTCAATGCCAGTGAGATTAAACCAAAATCCATCAATGATCAGACCTTTGATCTCTCGACACCATTGTAAGTTTTAAGGGTAAATATAACATCTCACGGTATACTTTATGTTGATTTGTTAGTTGGTATGTTCTTGGCGGGGTTTCGTGGAATCTGTGGCCGGTGGGTTTAGAGTAACAGTCGTATGTCATGTTTTAAAGACTTCCCATGTGCGCAAAAAAGCATAATAACAATTTTCTGCTATATTTTTTCTTTTATCGGTAAGAGTGCTCGAACCAAAATAAAGACTAGTCAAGTTGTGTATAAATTATAAATTTAAATAATAATAGGGCGAGCTGTAAATTTAGATGTCTTGAATTTAACCTTTAACAATCTTTTAACCTTTGACAATCCTTCAGGCCAGGATATAAGAGATTTATCTTTCATGAATATCTTAATTTTAATGTAGATCACCGTCCATTGACCGGAGAGATTTATCACTCATAAATACTATAATTCTGGCATGAATAGTCGATATTTAATCGTAATAGAAATGAAATTAGTCGAGTTATGCACTAATGGGCTCGAACACTCTTTATTGTTTAACAAAAAAAAAAAAACCACTTTCCACCCCAAAATATATTCAAATTCTTAATTGACACTTAAAATATTATAAAATATATCTTATCATTTTTCAGCCACACTCATTCATATGAATAAATATTAAATATAACAATTACACTAAATATAAAAGTGAATCTCATTTATTCAAATAATTAACCACAATTCCAGGAAAAAAAAAATGGAATCACCTTGTCCAATTATTTATTGAGTAATACTATTGAGACTTTATTATAACAGTTAGATCAACTTTAAGTTTTAATATTTTCAATGACTATAATAAATGAAAAATGTTATACGGCTCAAATGAAACTAAAAAATTACAACTCAAATGCATATCATCTCTTAAATAAATGTCAAATAAATAAATGTCACTTAAGAAAAGTTAATAAGATACACTCATTTAAATGATAATATGTATTTTTATTTTTATTTTTTGAGTTCCATAGCAAATTAGGTAAGGAAATTAAGCTATTAAATGAAGTCCAATAACATTCCTCATATTTATTTGGGTAAATTGTACCGTTAGTCCATGATATTTGCCACTTGTTGCACTTTTATATTTAAAGTTTTAATTTCGTCAATTTCATCCTTCATGTTAACACATTAACTCACTTTGGTCCTTACCCTTAACTGTCGTCCAAAAAAGTAACAAAAAACCAGCACACATTAGGCACATGATGACTATTAAGAGTAATTATGTCATTATTCAATACACCCCCATATACAAACATCTGTATTCTAAGTTTAAAAAATATTAACCATGTACCAAACACATTTTTTCTTCCTCATCAATTCTCGCTGCTGTTTTTCTCTCTCACAATACACAATACCCATACTCCTCTTTCTCTTTCTCTTTAAACTAAGTAATACCCTACTGTTAGAAGGTGGAGGCGGCATGGTGGCGATTATCCCTAATAATCGGCGACCACCCCCATCTCTACCCATCTGCCACCACTGATACCACCACCACTACCGTCGCTGTCCTCTCTCTCTCTCTCAACGCCTCACACAAAAACCTAACCTCCACTGCCCTTACAATTCTCCATACGGTTGCCACCACTTCATCAAGTACTCCACGGATCGTAACACACCACCTCTTTCCTTTTCCACTGCGACCCGTGAAACCCAAAACCATCAATTTTCATGTGCTCAAGCATATTTCAGGGAATTAGGAAGGAGACAAACAGAGATCTACAAAGAATTTTGTCAACTATGGAATCAAAATCCTAAACTAATTCTTCATCAATTCAAATTTGGAATCGCAATACCGAATCTGAGCAAGCAATTCCGATTGGTGCCATGAAATAGAGCTTCATTGTCCATGGGAGCTGTAGCAAAATAGGTATTGGTGTGATTACGTTGTTGTTGTTTGTGTATTTGTGTGTTTGATTGAGAGAGAGAAATATTATGTGTGAGAGAGAAGAGAGATAAACATTGTGTATTTGTTGAGAAGTGTCGGTGTGCGTGCTTTTTTTGTGGGCGTGTTGTGTTTATGTGTGCAAGTGCTCAAAACTTAAAAGAGAAACAGAGAGATGGTGTATGTTTTTTTTTGTGAGGATACTATTTGAGAAAAGAGAAAAGAAAGATGAAAATGTGTGATTGGTATCATGTTTAATGTTAGTCAAATAAGGGATAAGGTTGTTTGAAAATAGGTATTGACATGAAATACCAAAAATACTTGTCAAAATTGTCATGTGCCAGGCACATGATAATTTTCGTCTCTTTTTAGATAGCAATTAGTGTCAAGGACCATATTAGTCGAATGTATAAATTTTGAGGATTAAATTGATAAAAATAAAATTTTGAGGACCAAAATACAACTAACCATATATCTTAGGGACTATTGGTATAATTTACCTTATTTATTTTAGTATTTGACGGTTACACGGCACGGCTACACCGAATATGTTCTCCATTCCTATACAGTATAGTCAAACATGGCGAACTCCATTCCAGTTCCAACGAATAAATGTCGTCGGACACATGCACAAGCACTGTAATATACACTACAGCGGAGAAGCCAACCAACCCGAGAGAAGAGAGAGATCAAAGTGAATAACTCTTCTAATTCTCCCATGGCACAGAAGAATTATAGCGGCCTCATGATCGACCCAAGAAGTGGCTTTTGCAGATCCAACTCTACATTCTACAGCAAACGCAATTCAATTCCTTTACCATCCAATGAATCTCTCGACGTCACCACTTTCATCTCGTCTCGTGCCCACCATGGCAAGACGGCCTTCATCGATGCAACCACCGGTCGCCGCCTCAGCTTCACGGAGGTATGGAGAGCTGTCGATTCGGTCGCTTCTTGCCTCTCCGACATCGGGATTCGCAAAGGTCATGTTGTCCTCCTCCTCTCTCCTAACTCCATTTTCTTCCCCATCGTTTGCCTCTCCGTCATGTCCCTCGGCGCCATCATCACCACTACTAACCCTCTCAATACTACTCGGGAAATCTCCAAACAAATCGCTGATTCAAAACCTGTTCTCGCTTTCACTATTCCCCAACTTATCCCCAAAATCGGCCACTCAAACCTCCCCATCGTACTCATCGGCGAGGATCTTCATTCAATTCCTCCCGATTCCACTTCCAATTCCAGAATCGTGACAACATTAGAATCCATGATGAAAAAGGAACCGAGTAAGAGCAGCCGAATCAAGGAGCGGGTGACTCAGGATGACACGGCAACGCTACTTTACTCTTCTGGTACTACCGGGGCGAGTAAAGGAGTAGTATCGTCTCATAAAAACCTCATAGCCATGGTTCAAACTGTTGTAAGCCGGTTTCGATTGGAGGAAGGAGAGCAAACTTTTATATGCACCGTCCCGATGTTTCACATCTACGGATTAGCAGCTTTTGCGACGGGATTGCTTGCATCAGGATCCACGGTGGTGGTTCTTTCCAAATTTGAGATTGACGAAATGCTTTTGGCAATTGGCAAATATTCTGCAACCTACCTACCTCTCGTGCCACCAATACTGGTGGCATTAGTAAATAACGCCGATCATATAAAGAAAAAGTACAATTTGAGAACACTTCACTCTGTTTTGTCTGGTGGTGCGCCGTTGGGGAAAGATCTGATTGAGGGGTTTGTGGAGAAGTATTCGACGGTGACGATTTTGCAGGGGTATGGGTTGACTGAATCCACGGGCATCGGGGCTTCGACGGACTCACTGGAGGAGAGTCGACGGTATGGAACAGCGGGACTGTTGTCGCCGAGCATGGAGGCTAGGATTGTTGATCCGGAGAGCGGAGAGGTGTTGCCGGTTAATCGGACGGGTGAGCTTTGGCTGAGAGGTCCCACAATTATGAAAGGTAAAAGTATAGTATTTTTTTCCACACGTTTGCCACGTTCTTGGTGGACCTGTTACTTTCTTCTTTGAGGACACCGTGGAATAATGACATGTGTCCACTATGCTTGTCCCACCATTATCTTGAAGAGAAATCAGTTACATCCGTCTCCAAAAGCCATTTTGATCGATACATTGCCATTGACGGGCGGGTTTGATAAGCCCAGTTGCTTAGGAAGTGTTTCAAAAGTTATTTAGTTGTTTCTATTTCCATAAACATATGTATTAGAATGTTATTACAACACTAGAAATATGATAAATTAAGAAATAAAATATATCTAAATTAAAATAATTTATGTTACTAACATAAGAATATTTAATGGAGTTTTAAATATATTCAAGATTTTATGTAATTCTAAAGATGAAGGCGTGTCTCCTTTCGAGATCTCTCATTTTTTAGTTACCATTTTATTTTGATACATTTCATTAGCTTTAATATAAGTCATAAAAACTCATTACTCAAGCCAAATAAATTATAAATAATTGACAAATCTTATGATATATGTGATCGATCTGAATATCTTCAATGATGACTTTTCATTTGTATGATTCATAGTTTTTTCAATAACCCACTTTACTAAGTATATGGCGAATGTATTCACCATGGAGATATGTACGTGTATCCAAATATGATAAATACTCTATTAATTATCTAATATGTGCAAAAAGTATCTGATATGTATTTGTAAGTATACGAATATCAGTGTCTGATACATATCGGATATGGATACGTTGCCCCAAGCAAAATATCTATGCTTCGTAGAGAGATGAC